AGATAGATAGATAGATAGATAGATAGATAGATAGATAGATAGATAGATAGATATCCTTTCTCTTCCTTTCTCTCTCTCTCTTTGTGTATTATACTCATACTCGTATAAAAGTATCTACAAGTTTTACACAACAGCTTCAGTAAAGGCTCACCTTTTTTCTACATCTGGAAGTGTATTTCATCTATATTTGCTTTTCCTTTTGGGGAAATGTGGGCTCCAAAGCCCCCAGTATGTACTGAGTGTGCCAATGCATATAGTGTATGCAATTTCTCTTCCTATGTTTACTTCTGGCATATTTTTCCTATGAAGGAAAGGCATATAAATGCCAGTCATGTCCTGTTATTTTGTGTTCTGGGTATGTGTCCTCTAGCAGCTTTTCCTTGGGAACCAGTCCCACTCCACTGCTGTCTGTTTTCACATTTTCCTGGTAGACATTGCAATCTGAGAAAGACTTGACTTGAATCCTTTCCTTGTCAGCTCTTGTTCCTCATGTTTAGCTGTGGACAGCGAATGTTGTGGGAAACTGGAAGCATTTGCTCTCTCCTCCCCACCAGCTGCTTTCATTAAGAGATGTTTTTATGTCTTTTATGTGTGTCCATCATAATGTCCAGGAAGTGAACTTTGTGCAAAGGCTAGTCTAGGTCCTAGTTCATATGGAGCTAAAAAATATTGGTCCTACGAATACTTTGTGACTCTGCATGATAAAGAGGCCATCAAGTTATTTGGAGTAAAGAAAGTGTTCTTCTGAGATTGCTCTCCACCAATGAAGCTCACTTGGCATTTGGCTTCAATATCAGGCAAAGAAATTACACACACACATACACCCCATTTTGTTGTTGATTATTACATGCCTATTTCTGACAACTGAGTATATAATGAAGGACAGTAAGGTAATGAAAGTTTTATGTACATTCTCAAATAAATCTTTTTTGTAGAATTAGGTGAATACCCAAGAGGTCATTTGATGAGGCTGTAATAAAAAAAACGTAGAGGACAGCACCCTCCAACTATGATCCTGGGAGCAGGGCAGACACCAAAAGAGTCTCACCATCCTACTTTTCTCCCTGTATTCATCTTCTGTTGAGATGAAGTTCCTCTGAACTTAATGAGTCTGACCTTGAGGGAGGTGGTGGGACTGCAAGTAGGTTCAGAAAGTGAATTGCCACCGTTTTCATATCTCTGTGCACATGAGGTATAGCTAGGAGATGGTCTTACTAGCATTTCATTGGCAAAATTAAATAATTCCCCTTTCTCTGCAGGGCAAACCAGGGAACCCTGGCTGGAAAGGTGAAAAGGTGAGTATAAAGAAGTCAGGATCAAGACAGAGCTTCAGAGGGGCAAAGAGGAAATCGACAGGTCTGCCGTTGTGAGTCCAATAGCATTAGAAGCAAATGGGGACCACTGAGAAATGGTGGGTGCGTTTCTCTGAGAAACAGGATGCAAAACTAGGTAGACCTCTGTCTCATCCCTTGATCTTTTCTGAGGTCCTTAGCGATCTGCACCATCTGGAAAAGCACCAAAGTTTGCAGAAGTGTAACTTCATGCTAAGAAACCAAATCTAAAGGGGGTGTCCCTCTTCCCCATTAGAACTGAGCAAGTTCAGTAACCATAAAATGTTGAATGGTAAGTGGAAAAGAACATTTGAAAGGGAGAAAAGGGGACGGAGGATTCATAACGGAGCATCTCGGTTCATTGGTTGAAAACCTAACCTTCCTGTTGCAGGGTAATGATACAGGAGTTTGGAGGTCCAACGTGTTCCCTCTAACCTCAAACTTGGATGCTTCAGTGCTATCCATTTGCAGTTTAAAGAAAAGCAGCCTAAAATATGCCACACCCAAAAAGAGTGCTTTAGGAACACAGAAGTATATATGTTTGTAAATCAAAACAATTTATTTTTCTAAAAAAATCCAAATCGTTTTTATAAAGTATGAATTCCCCACTTTGGAAACTTCCCCTTCACCTCTTTAGATAGGAGAGGCTTCTGTTTAAGGCTATCTGGGCTTTTGAACTGGACTACTCCTTGCTGGGCCTGGCAAGGTATTGCAAGACTTTGCTCTAAATATCTAGTTGGGCAGGTTGGTCTACAGAGCAAGGCTGTCCTATGTATATATGCACCATATATTTGTCTCCTTCCAACAGAGCTCAGCTCTGTTTTAGTTTTCTGGCTAACAATATGGACATGGTTTGCCATCACTTTCTTCTGGGTTGTTTCTCAACTTCCCAGTCTAATGTCCAGGCCTGGAATTCTCCAGAAATTCCTCAAGCCCATACAAGATTAGCCAGGTGTTTCACACTGCTGGAACATCCAAAGAATATTATCAGTAAGGCTGACCCATCACATGAAGTGTGCTTTTTCATGGTGTTTAATCAGCGCAGAGAGCTGCACCATGCCAAAACTACGTAGCTGTGCATGTGAACATTGGTACCTGAAGAGATGGCAAAGGGGGACAAACAATGAACCATGACATCACAATGCAAAATCTACCCCTTTGGTATTTACCTTGGGATGGAACAAAAATAGGCAATGGGCAGAGCTTGTATTGTGATGTTGCAACACGTATCCAAGGCCTCAGCTTGTTGCGGGTGCCCCTGCGCGTGATTACTGCAAATGGATGGAAACAACAAATGGTTTCCATCCATTTCCCTCCATGTAGCAAAGGTAGGAATAGAGGATGTGCTAAAAAGTGGGTCATAGTTTGTGTTAGTACTTTTGTTGATTTGGGGAGGGGGCGAGATCTGTTTCCTTTGCCTGATGGCCTTGGTTTGGGGTTCCTTTGTGCTCCTCTTCCTCAGTGCATCTTGGCTTTTTCCCAACAGGGTGATCCATGTGAAGTCTGCCCCACTATTTCTGAAGGAAACCAAATCAGCCTCCCTGGGAAACCAGGAGCCAAGGGGGAACCTGGACCACCTGGGAAACCAGGCAAATCAGTGAGTCCTCTTTATGGAATGTTTTCTTCTTTGAGGTTGTGGGGGAGAAGCCATCAAGATGCTCTTGGAAAAGGGGAATTTGCATGGCTGATTAGCTAATGGAAATCAGTTCTGGGGACTTCCATTGGTTCTCCTTTCTCTTGTCTTTTGCAGGATAAACCTGGGCCTCCAGGAGTCAAAGGCAACAGGGTAAGCATTGGATTCAGCTTTTGTGAGGAAGGGAGGCCAAGCAGAAGGTAGACAGAAAGGAAAGGAAAGATTAGAGGTGTCATGGCAAACTGAAATCCCCAAATTTAGTCTCTTGACTCTGGTAGTTCCGGTTTTAAAAGTATGGGAAAGACCTCAGCCAATCCTGGACTAGAACAGACCAGACCCTTGACTCTGATTTAGGTTGGGAGATGAATTGGGTTAGTTAACATTCAAATGGGTACTTATCAAAATCCATCTTTTCAGCCCAAGACACAAAGCAGAAGTCATGTTCACTTTTTTTTTTTAAATCACAATGCACATTTTCAATTTAAAAATTATACGTTAAGGGAAAGTCTGCATAAAAATGCATATGTTTAAAAAATAATGCACAAATATGCATTATACTAGGGAAATGAATTGCATTTACCTAATCTTAGTAAAAAAGAGTTATGTGAAAGTGTCAGTGGACCAAAGCCATGAAAGATAGCAGAGGTCAATATTTCTGGGCTCAGCTTGGCATATGGAAGATTGTGACTTAGAATTTAAAAGGAGCAAATAGTAACAAGCACGAACTGAGAAACAAATATAGATAAATACATTTATGTATTTATTTGTGTGTCTTTGAAACAAAGAGAAAGGAGTTGAAATTAATAGTTCAGAAGAAAGGTGGCCTGATCTTGTGGTGTACAGATGATGAATCCATGCAGGGAATTTACTGACATATATTTTAGCCTTTATGTTTAATTATGAATGGAAGGGCTAAAATGTATGTCAGTAGGTATGAATTAGTGGCTTTTTGGTTATTATGGATGCATATGAAAGTAGAAATCGATAGATTGCTAATCACGGCACGTTACGCTCCAGTGAAGAGTAATAATGGAAGAACCGGAGATGGCTTTTGGGGGGAAAACTGTGCAACATTCTGAATGTATGTGATCCAGGGGGAAAAATTATTCATCTCAGTGACTTGCATGGATGGCGAGGAATGAGATGAGACCGAACAGAAAAAGTGATTGGGCCATTAGGGGACCCAATAATGAAAGACCAAGGTGAATGTTTGGTGTTGGTTTCAGAGACATGCTTTCAGCGTAAGTCTCCATGCATACCCTTGGCAAAGGAATAGCGGTAAATCTGAAAGAAGGACTGGTTTAATTTTTTTATTGTTATTTGTTTATTATACAGAAATAAAGATAAATAAGTGCCGCAAAACAGGAAGAAAATAATATATCGTTGTATATGAATATTCACGTACACCAAGCATTAAACCTTGATCACACAGAATCATATTGATAATTTTCTCATTACTTTGATGAAAAGTAATGAGCTCTCCTTCAGCAGAGAGCTAATGCGGGTCGTTTACCCCAGACAGGAGCGCCTGCTGGGAATGGCAATGGGGTGGGTGGGTGTGACACTGCCAAGATGACATCTGCAACCAGAGGATCAAAGCCCCGTCACTTTTCATGCAATGGCATCTTGAATTTTTTTATGCCTCCCTTATAAATCTAGAGTGGCCCTGAACCAGAAAAAAGGCACCATTTTTTCTGCACCCCATACTTGGCAAATCCATATTATTCATAGATTGAAGAATCCCACTTTTTGTTATATAATTCAAGTTCACATTCATATCTTTAAATCATGTTAATCTTCCCAAAGCCATGTTAACAAACTTAGGGCTATTAAACCAGAATGGAACAATAGTGTGACAAACCTTTATCTTATGTATGAGTGTCCCCTCTATCATTTTACATTTTCTGCATTATTAAGTTGACAGCCGATCTTTTTTAAATATTCTCCGAGGTGCCAAATAAACATGAAAAACAATATTTTGCTGAACTAGGTCATTTCGCTACCAAGTGACTCATAGCATCTTCAAGAGCCATCCTTGTGCCAAAATAATAGTAATGCAGACAAGCTTTATACCACTTTGGTGATGACTGGGAAATGCTATAAAGATGCTGTAAGTCACTAGTGCAGAAATGAAATACTGTAATAAGAAGCATACTTAATGTTCTTTTAAGACCTTAAGTATTGATTTCTTAATATGTGGTATTCTATTTACTCCAAAGATGCAAATGGTATCCACTAAAGTATTAATACCTATATTGACCCATTAAAAAAAAAAAAAGAACTACTATTTTCAAACTCAGATTTTCTCAAAGTGTAAGTTTATCATGTGAATAAAGAAAAAGTTTTATTTCTTCCCAATATGCCTTGCATCCTTTAATGCTGGCAATACTGTAGAATTATGAATAAAAGAGGAACCAACCCTCGCCATGATAGCCGAGGGATCACATAACTGTCTAATTTTCTTATCTGTGGACTTCATCAATTGTTTTTCACAGGAAAATAGAAGTAAATATGTCTGCAAAGTGATTAAACTGACAGGAAATTAAAACCCCGTGATCATATAATACTGTAATTTAAATTTAGGTGCTTATCCTTCCCATAAAAACTTTCTTAATAACTTATTAATCCGCTTAAAATACCTTAACTTATGAATATGGAACTTCCTCTAAGTACATATATCAATCTTAAAGTAATATTCATTTTCTCGACATTTACCTTTCACTATAAACTCACTGGATTTTTTTTAACCATTTATGTCTATCGATATAAATCTGGGAGAAACCATTTGAAATAATTCCATCTACCAACAAAGAAACCTTTCTTGGCATAATTATTCCAAGTTATTTAAAACCATTGAGTAAAGCTACAATTTCTACAGATACATTAGAGCCTGTAGGAAGTGTGATTCAGTCAATTAATTGAGTAACCTGACAGCTTTCCAAACTGTTGTACTACGTCAATTCATTTGGGTTTAAAACTTTCATACACTTAAAACATTGCTCATTCATTAGCAAGAAGACATAATGTCGCATTAGCATATAAAGAAACAAGCTTTGTCCAGCACTTTTATGCCCAGAGAATCCACTGATTGCCTGATAAGGCAAACCAATGGTTCCAAAAGCATATTAAGAGGAAGAACAGGTAAAGGACATTCTTGACAAATTCCATGACATATTTTGACAGGTATAATGGTATGTGCAGAGCCTGGGAGAGTTTCCCATTCCGACTTCCTGGGCATTACTTATTAATCAAGGTAACAGCTGCCTCCCCAGTTCACAAGGGAGCCCAACAGACTGAAAAGGTCCCTGTCTTGGCAACCTAAGCAATACATTGGATTCTAAATCATGGGATCATGGGATTTCTGGAAGTTTTTCCTGGCCCCTTTCAATGAATCAGGTTAAACTCTGGGAGGATCTACTTTCTGTTGAAGTGGGTTGTCAAGAGCTCCACAATGGATGAGGCAATAATTCCATTTGTAATAACTGCAAATGAAGAATTAGAATGCTGCTATCAAATCCAATTTCTAAAAAAGAAGGAAGTTCACATTTGGCTAAAACGTGCTCCAGAAATTGGATGCACGCCATATTAAAGGTCTTTTCTTCATCCAACAGAACCACCTGTGCTGATTCTAGTGTATCAGTCATCTAATATTATCTAAAGCTTGTGCTCTTCTATAAAACAGGTTGTTCAAGATGGATAACTGAAGGGCCACTGTCAAAATTTTGGCATCAACATTTAATGAAAAATTGGGTGATAACGTATATAATTTTTACCAGCTTTCAGAATCACAATGATATAGATCTCAGTAAAGGAAGTTGAACAAATGTATTGAGAAAAGCATCATGATAGACCTCAAAAAATACAGGAGGAAAAAAGATCAGTATATACTACTCACAGGATAATGATTAGAACTAGGAGACGTTCCTGTTTTCATAGATTTAATAGTGTCTATTATTTCCTAGAGATAAGACCAAGAGATAAAATGTTTGGTCATGTGCAATCTTGGAAGAGCTACGTTATTTTTAAAATGAGTAGTCAATAATTTATGTTTAATGAATACATTTATAAATTAATAGTAATTTATTAGTAATGTTTGACTCAGTGTTATAAAATTTGGTGTGTGTGTGTGGATGGATAGATAGATAGATAGATAGATAGATAGATAGATAGATAGATAGAGATAGATAGAGATAGACAGACAGACAGACAGACAGACAGATACTGTAGATACAGAGTATGTGCCATCAAGTCATTTTCGACTCCTAGCAACCACACAGATTTTCTCCAAGAGGATCTGTCCCTCACCTGATCCTTCAGCTCTTCCAACAGCTCCCCCATCACCACCGTAACTGAGTCCCTCCACCCTGCTGCTGGTCCTCCTCTTCTTCTCTTCCCTTCCACCTTTCCCAGCATTAGAGCCTTCTCTAGGGAGCTGGGTCTTTGCATAACGGGTTCGAAGTAGGATAATTTGACCCTGGCCATTCGTGCCTCAAGTGAGAACTCTGGGCTGCTTTGTTCGATGATCCATTTGTTTGGGGTTTTTGTTTTTCTTTTTTTAGTTGTCCACAATATTCTCAGGAGTCTAAATAAATAAAAACATGGTGATTTATTAAGTAAGAATCATTATATATTTTGCCCTCAGCGTAGTAGAAATGATATTACGGTGCAATGTTGCTGCCATTTCAGTCAAGTGGCCAATAATTTAGCAGGCCTTTTTCTTCATTCCCGATATCTTTGCTTTAGATAATTCAATCAGTATTCTATATTAAGTCCATAAACAGAATTAAGTTCCAATTTAGCCAACATAAAAGCTTTATAACATTTGGCTTCAGTTGTCTGTTATATGTGGTCAAGAGTTCCTTAGCTTTAATCTCCAAATTTTCTCCTCCTCCTTTTTTTTCTTTTTCCATGAAGCATTTGCCCTAATAGGACCATAAATGTATGTCTTAGAAATATTCCAAACAACCATTAAATTCTCATTTTTAAAAACTTCAAAATATTATTTAATCTATTTTATTAAAAAGTATCTTTCATCATTAAGTTCCATCTAAAATACATAGTGTTACTGGAGCATGATCAAATATTTTAATAGAATTAATATTACATTTACCCATCCAATTAACTGAGGATCACAAAAGCAAAAATTAATCAAG